TATATATATATATATATATATATATATATATATATATCTTCCTTGTATTCATTTTCTAATATTCTGGGGATTGATGTCATCATTCCAAATCCTGCTATGCCTGCTTACCATCAAGTCCTCTAATTCAATACGTAACCTCTTAATGTTCATGTAACACCAGGACCAACCAAATTGGTAAAAATGCTTGATTTGTTGATTTGTTCTATTTCAAAATTTGAGCTTGATTTTTCTGTCCAATCATGGAAATTTTGATGTAGAACATCTTCTAATTTCAGTTTATAGTGGACAAATTTAAAGATAAGACAGATAGACCAGAGTCTTATCCTCTAGCATGTTGGATTTATCTTTTTTAGTTAGTTACTATACTAGAATTTAGTTAATCATTTAATTGGTCAGAATTGTCAAGTTTTATTAGTAAATTATAGATAGATTGGATTTAGTATTTGAGACTTCATAAATTTTATTCCTTGTGTTGGGTTGTCAAAGGAAAGTTTGGTGCAACCTATGGAAAAGTAGTGGCTTCACGACAGATCAGATTAATAAATTAGATGACTTTGAGTTATTGATAATAAGATTACGTGATCCCCTATCTCTCCATAAGTAGCCTGAGTTGACAAATAGCTTTAATAATTGACTTCATAATACCAAATTGTTTTTAAGACACAAAAGAATCTGTTTAAAACTCTTTGTTAGAATACTCTCCAAAATATTTCAACTTGTAGAAGCCTGCTTATACGATCTCCTTTATTCTTACATAAAGATACTGAAGTGCTCCCAATATGGCATTATATTTCTTAGTATTCTGCAGAAGATAAAAGATCTACGCAATGTCCCAATGTCAGAAAACTACATCACAATACAATTACTCTGTCCCTGGTAAAAAATGGAGTATAGAAACAAGAAATATGAATACCTGCTATTGAGCCTGAGTTCCATCATGTGGACAAAAAGGTCAATGCAAAACGGACGAGCCAGCTGTGAGGCGTACACCCCAACTAACTCCTCATGTTGCTTGGAAAATAAGAACATTGCATACCTGTAATTACATTTGTTAACAAAGTATCACAATCATGCATAGAATATTTATCAAGTATAAGACTCCAAACAATGTATAACACCAAGCTAAGGATGCAATGTACATGAGTTTTTTTTTTTTAATAATTGAAGTCATCACAATAAACGACTATCAAAATCCTAGCAAATGCAATTCAACGCTATTCAAGTTTGATAAGTGTTCATGCATCGTTCGTGAAAAGCTGCAATTTGGTTTTAAAAGTTTAAAAAAACTTTCTAGTACGGAAATGTTGTTTCAGTGCTTCTTATCTCTTTCCTTCTAGGAAATGCAAGAACAGATAAAAAATTTATTCCCACATCACCTAACATTTTCCTCAGCCAGAAGTTATAAACTTTCATGATTTCTCAGTGATATTATGGATACAGGTGTTTCCCTGGGGATAAATCTTCCTGCACATCAAGCCTATAAGTTTAAGTGTTGCCTGCAATGTATAATGGCCATAAAAATCAGGGCCAAAAATATAAGTAGAGACAATTTGTCGTGGGGCCAAAGTAATGCTGGCTCACATGCATAAATAATCTACAAAAAGCTAAACTCATAGGAACAGAATCGCCATCAAATTGCAAATGCATGGTGAATCAAGTTTATTTATTCTTTGTACCATGCATGATAAAACAGTCGGCTAGACACAAATTAAAATAGGACAAGCACCTAATAGGATCCTCGCAATCATAACAGCAAAGGAATTTCCATGGATTTATGGACGCCTACATTTTTTAATTATGTCTGTGGAAGATCACTGTGAGCCATGTGGCCGCGCAATCCTAGAGATTATGTGACCCTGAATGGTACTAGCATATATTTGATTAATAGATACCTTGAAGGAAAATTGATGCTTCAGTTTAAGTTTGGTTTAACAAATACTTTATACATACATGTATATAGACTTATTAAATTATTACAGAGCTGTCTCTCACAATTGCCAACGTAAAGAGAAATATTGTGACCCAGTTGTATTGACCAACAAATAATTAGACGGAAATGTTTAAAAATGTAGAACATGTATGGTATTTCTCTAAAAGGGAAAGATCTAAGTTCCTTTCTGTCTGAGTGTTATGAGATAATCACTGTAAAATGCATTAAGTTTGGGACACGGACTCGCAAATTAAAAACAACATACATCTGAAGAATGAGATCACCAACAGTAGTAAGCTTCTCCTTGAAAGCATCCTTCATTTCGTCACCAAGTAGATATCTAAGAATAAGAACAACATGTGCTCCAAAACGCATCAATTGGGGGTCACCATGAGGCCTGAAAGATGGGCACTATCACTATATAGACTTGTAACGGGACTAAAAAAAAAGAATACTCTCCAATGCAATAGGACTTCATACCTCAAAACATTCTGATCATCTTCTGATGGTGATATCCATGACCAAATGAGGTCTAGAAGACGCGCAATATCTCCTATCATGAGGTTCATCTGACAATAATTCAATGGCAGAAGAAGATAACATTTGTGGAAGGTCCAGAAACATAAAAAAGACTGTCCAGAAAACATATGCAACATATAGGGTGTAGAGAGTGCAAGAGAATCAAATAATACTAGGTTTGTGAATCAACAAGAGGTAATTTTCGTTACACAGAAAACTTTGAGTACCTAATTACTTGTTTAGTTAACAAGCTACATAATTATAACAGGAAATATAACACATCATATAAGCGCTCATGTGTGTAACTAAAAGCAGTGCTCACTGTTTATTACCTCAATTTGTCGATGCTGCTCTTTGCACGCTCGAGAAACAGCTTCATTCACAATATCACTGTACAAAAAAGATAATGAATAAGGTAGGCACATGGTTGGGCAGAAAAATCAGAAAGCAATACTTCAGTACCGAGAATGAAGTTTTTGAAGGAGAGAAGGAAGGTCACGAGGTTGCTGATCAAGAACATGACATGGCCATGTTTCAGGACCAGCTGAAGGCAACGAAGTCTGAATTCCTTGAGAAGGTGTTCCATTCATGCCATCACCATAGTGTTTATCCTCCAGTCTTCCTTGTGGAAAGTCAGTTAATTCTACATCAACTTGAGCATCAAGCCAGGACTTTGCCATTGCCCAGCATGCTGACTAAATGGAGGGAAATGTAGTGAGATATATATACCAAGTGCTGAACTATGTTCTAGAGCCAAAGTAATATCATTTACTCAAATGTTTTGGAGTACATAAACAAGAATTGTTTTACAACAAGACAAATGATTTCAAATAAATAATTAAACCCCAGGAAAGAAAACATCATCTGGATTGCGGACAAACAAATATGAAAACCTAAAAAGATTGCAAAACTATAAGATGCAGTGTAAATGAAGACTATTCTTAGAAGAAAATATAAGAGGCTGCAATTTATTGTCTTCTGTGTTGACATGGCCTAAGAGTATGAATGATGTTAAATGCAGGCATTATCTTGCAACAAGTTCATAAAAAGTTGAGTCAAAAAGTCGAGTCAGAGGGAAAGCACCAGTGGTATATGGTGCAGTGGAAGATAGAGTGATTAGAATCCCTATCAATTCAACCATTAGCATTGGCAACATACATAAGATGGCAGGATTAAAGCATATATATGCATTGATATTTCTAGATGCACTAGGGATAGACACAAACTGTTTTCTCTGAAAAATATGGTGTCAAGAACGATACGCAGCTAAACCTGGAAGGTTGATCAAGATAGTAGCTACTGTAGCCAATTATGTACAGTGAAACCAGTTTAACTCTAAGATAATGGGTATAGTTTGGACGACCAAAGACATAAGCATAATAGTTCATTTGCAATCATACAATCAAATGATGAAGTTTGACTGGTAGAGAAAAATGAGAAATAGAGGTAAAAACTCCTGTTTAAGTTTGTATTTAAATAGCCTTAACACAAGCACGCGTAGTGGGTAAAAGACTATTTCTCCAAACTAAAATTTTGGCTGAGCACCTAGCGTGTTGCAGGTTCCAAGATATCCTTTACTACAGTAACAATTGCATTAGGCTTGCTATAAGAACCGGTATTGGCGGCCCAATGAAAGAGAAATGATAAAATCTGTAACATGTAATGGGAAGGTAACTGAATCAGTTTCATCTACATGAAACTTTCAATGCTATAGAAAGATATTATCCATCCTAAGCACATACTGGATACAGGGACAATGATGCCTAATACTAATATCATCTCTTAAAACTAAAGAAACTTAACATAATTTTGGAAATCAATAAAATTCCTCACGGCAAATGCCATCATTATACCAATTATATTGTTCTCCATTCGTAAAGGCCACTCTTCATCACCAAGAATCAAAGCCAATCTCTTATTCTTGGATAATGTCCTATCATATGCAACACTTATCCAAAGAAAAAACTACAGTGTTTGACACGCCTCGACGCAACGTCCACATCCAGCCATGTCTACAATTGCATTTTTCTGCTAATTGCCTATGTATCTATATGATTGATTACATTGTGCCTTTTGACAAGAGCTAATTACTTAATAGATTATTTTACTAAAAGATTATTTTCTTTCATATATAAGGAGAAAAAAGATACATGTATCTAGAGCCAAATATATGTAGACTTGAACAAAATACGCATACATCGCATGTCTCGTGTATCAATTTTGTTTAACTGTCTGTCACCTGCTGGAGTGTGAGACTCATTGTCTAATAGTGACAAGATATTTTCTGCACTAATTCACCATGTTGCAACCAATGTTTCCATTTTTAATTGCCAAAAGACACAACTCACAAGTATATTAGAGCTGAGTCTAATATGTTCCAAGGTTCAAAAAAAATTAGCAAAACTACAGAGTTAGCACTGATACTTCTGGTGATGAAAAAACTGACATGCTAACTTAGAAGTTAGAGCAAGTTTGGGAACTATGGATTATAACCCAAAGTCTTACGTAAATTTAGTGGATTGTAATCCGTTTTCAGACTTCACATGTTTGGAAAATGGATAGATTACAATCTACCATTGTTGTCGCCCAAAAAGGTAGATTAATGGAGCTTTTGGTGAGCTATGCTACCAGAGTACTCCTATCACAACACCGAACACATATTCCTACACTTCCTGTACCCGTGCCCATACTGACACTGGACACTCCTTAAATATACGCATACATTTATTCAAACATGTACTCAAAGGGTCAAGTGTATCTAGTTCATTACTATAATCACAGTCCATGTTTTTTAGCCGTTCTTACAAATTTGTCGAGTCCTGTACCCGGAACCGCGCCCGCCGCCCACACCTATACCCGTATCTATGCAACTTAGTTGGTGAGTTAGTTTACAGGCTTGCGAATTTGTGAAATCATGATGGGAACAATTATCTTTTACTTGCTCAAACTTCATGGATTATAATCCAGCAAAAATAAGCTAGGGTACCCTAGCTTCTTTTTGGTGGATTATAATCCAAAATAATTCACTTGCCAAATATCCAAAAGTGGATTATAATCCACTTGACTATTTGCCAAACATGCTCTTAATTTCTTTTTTACAAAGTAAACACATCATATATGATTAAACTATGACTGCTTAATTGGAAACAAATAACATCAGAAAATGAATAATTAACTACTGGTAAGAAAGAACTAGAAGTGAAACAGTCAGAAAATTGTTGCTGTATTACATCAATAATATCATCCTTAAACACCTTTCCCCTGTTAAAACTGGGGTCTGGTGAAGCATTACTTTTGAGAAATGTAAATAAAAAAATCACAAAATTACAAGCCAGCACATTCTCGTGTTTGGCTACATTATTACAGTCATAAGGTATCATAAACATCATGCCCACAAGGAAAGCCATATTTTCTTTCTGTGGCAGAATAAATAGGTATAGACAGAAGTACTCTATAGTTAACAAAATAGATAAGTCAAAATCTAAGCAGAAAGCATTCTCTGAGAAGAACAAGTTACCTCCCAGTCAGTGCAGATAGGTAGCACACGCTTCAAGTTACTACACTGAGCAGCAAATACAGCCATCTCATATCTTCCACCATTTTGCTCTGCAATTTTCTTCACCAAAAATTTGAATGAAAAGTCATGTTTTCAGCCAGATATATGAAGTTATTATACACATGAGATGTTTGCTTCAAATCTTAAAAGATATCTAAAATAATGCTATTTTTCCTCATACGTGTAATTGTTAAACATACAAGATCAAATTTACGACTTTAAAAGCAATTTACGCTTGACATCAAGGCAATGAATTTCAATTTGACTCTCATTATCACAATGAAGCTCAGAGCTGAATGCTAATTTCTCATCAGTTTTCTCATGTCACAGTCAGATAGTCTACACTAATATCCGAGAGTTCATAGTTTAACAACCTGCAATTCTGAAATCAATAAAGTGCTTGCAAAATGACACAAAAGTATTATGTGCTTTCTTGAAAACCCAATATTTGATGCACTATTTAGCAGGAGAATCACTGTAACCCAGCATAAACTTCATCTAAGCTTAAGGGTCAGCTACATGAAATTTATTCTGCCATTTGTCTACTGTCTACAGACTTACGCGCGCATTTGTTTGTTTTGTTTTATGTTTTTCTTTTTTTTGTGTGTGTGTGTGTGTGTGTGGGGGGGGGGGGGGGGGGGGGGGTAGATCTTCCGCTTCCATATTATGAGTTTCTCTTGGTAACCTATTAGTCTTGTCCTAGTCTGCAGCCCATCGCTCCTGCTAAATAGTCAATTAACTGCTTTACCATGTACATACTAAACGGATCACAAATGACTTGTCCAGTCATAGTAATACATAGCTCATAACCGAGTTTCCAGAAAATAACTGCGTTGATTATTTTATCTTCACTCTCACTGATAGTCATCCATCTTAATATTTGCCTGATTCAATGTCTGGAGACAGATTTCTCGCCCAGTGTTCTGTGTACATCAATGGCCTATAAATTCATTGCCTGTTTTCAACTATATTCACATGCTTGCATGGTAGAGTACTCCTAAAACACTGTGCACTTCTACCACTCTGCATTCAAATTCTCGATGTAAGATTATGTTGATCGCTGGTGCAACACAACCAACAATGTGTTAAGACCTTAGATTTGCAGGCCATAAATATGTATAGGTCAGCAGAGACTTTCCAACCACCAAAGATTTATGATCTAGCGAGACAGGTTCACACCATTGTTTCTAAGATAATTCTTAGGCCAGAAATTAACGGCTGACATTTATATATACCAATTCTCCAGAAATGTGCCACCAGCAAGCACAATAAAACGCCAAAATTAATAACACTGCAATTAGAGAAACTAGAACAAAAACGGGGATAAGAATGTTATCCATTAGTGTCATCAAAATTAACGAAAGATAAATATGTTTGATTACTGAAGAGATGCTTAAGTGTTGAATTGAGGATGAAATGTTGAAACATAAGAAAACAGAAAAAGAAGTAGATAACTAGTTCAGTTCTTAGGTACCCCATCACCCCCCCCAAGCTGGCGGGCCTTCTTCTCTTCCTTTATAGGTAATAGTAGAAGTCACAAACAGTGTTATTGAGGCGCGCGCCCCGGGTACTCTTTCTTACTAGTTGCTAATCTATTTTCATCTTTTCATGTTTAACCTATAAAAAGAAAACAATAATTAGTAATTTAGTATACTTGTTTGCTAATTGTAACTTCCTTCTCTAATTAGCATGCTAATAGCAAATTATGAACATGTAAATATGTAATTATTACATTCATTCTTCATCTTTTCAAGCTAAGTAGCAAATATCAATTAAGAATACTAACTAGAAAATTATAAACAGTCATGTTTGTTAATTATATTTCTTAGTCTTTTTATGTGACAATTTATAAACATATGCTCATAATTGTTAATCACTTAATTTGATGATTTAAATACATGTTTCTTGTATCTTTTTGTTACTTTAAAAATTCAGTTAGCATAATTGATGATTTAAGTTGATATTCTCATAATTTTGGATGTAGGTAACTAATATGTTGCTTATATGTTTCTGTCTTATGATGTTGGTAAATATTAATTTGAGTTATGCGCCTCAGTTAGTGAGGCGCGCGCCTTGTTGTGCGCCTTGCGCATGGTGCGCGTAAGGGACCTTTGCGCCCCGCATTGCGCCTTGCGCCTCGATAACACTGGTCACAAACCATATCATATCCCAGAAATGTAGAAAACAATTTTGATAGTCACGCGCAACTGTATTTATTTTTCTAGCATGCCTTTTTGATGCTGCATCATTAGTCAATTTGCTTCCAAATTTCATGTGAAATTCATTTTACAGTTAGAAAAACTTTTATAAAAACTTTTATAAAATGAATAATTGAGAATAGTGGTGGGATTTTTGTGAAGAACCATCTATGTATAAGACAATATTCAAAAAGTGACTTACAATTGATGTGAAATATAGAAATTCCAAAAGAAAAATAGTAAAGAAATTGTTTAAGAACAAACACATGTACGTATGTTACATGAACTATGATTAACTAGGAGATCAACAAATTTGTTGATGCTTTTAAGTATTTTGATGATTCTCCTTTACAATACTTATTTCTTGCAATTTTAAATAAACCTAGCATCTAATTTCGTTATTATTTTAATTCTGACGTATAAGTAACAAAGTGGCTACTACAGAGTACGTATACATACACATATTGCCATGTTTTTATAAAGTTGTGTATTCCATTTCCATGTCCTGTATAGTATCCAAACTTCAGTGTCATGCATTGGTAATTATGGAAATTCCACAGTAGAGAGAAAGATTAAGAGGAAAAACAGGAGTAAATAATAGGTTGCATAGCCAAGATACAGATGTTTCCTTCCGATAATGCAGGAAATGTTTCTTCAGAATCCCATGTATGGCGTATGGCAAAACTATCATGAGTGCAACCGAGATAAATTAAAGTAGCAGATAAAATAAAAGCCGGCATCATCAAAAGGGAATAATGGTACATTCTGCACTTGCCAAGTTATAAGACAAGCAAATCTTTTTAACTGATAATGGTGAAAAGGAAGAGAAATTAAATATTGAAAAGAATTAACCACAATTGCATTATACCTACCTCTGAGGCACTATATGATGCCCACTTCCAAAGTCTCCATTGGTGTCCAATTCCACTTTCCAGTTCAATAGCTTGCAAAATTCTTGTCTTCCCATTTTTGTGCATAGCTTCCACTGAGGGAAATTGGTCCAACCCCCCAAAAGGACATAGAGTTGCCGCTCTCCATGGCTGAAAGCAACAGAAGACAAAAAAAAGTACAAAAATATGACGTACAAAGCATTAAAAAAAAGGGAGAGAGAGAGAGGGAGTTAGTGCATTGTTGATCTACCTGCCCAGCAGAACGGCAAAGTTCACATGCCTCCTCCAATCTTCCAGCTCTTAGAAGAATCCAGACATCTTCCATAAGTAATTCATCTTGTTTCTGTAATTTGTTTAAAAAATCATGCACGTACGAAAGTTACATAAAGCCAATGATTCAAAGTCATGAAGAAGAAATTGTGAATATAGATCATAAGCTTAAATATCATGTCAGGTATGAGCATTTCACTCTAATATATGGTTGGAAGGATTAAGTTTTGAAGCTATTACTCCAGTTGCTTTGTTGTGTAAAACTTATGAGATACAATCATACTAGTTTGATGAGTTCTATGAAGCATCATTAACTGAAGTCCATCACAAATCCACATCATATACAACACCAAATACCAGTATTTGTCTAATGTTTTCAGATGCTCATTAGATACCTCACATCTTTCCTATGCACATTTTTGCCACCCTTTTTATTTTATGCAGGTCAAGGAGCAATTGTTTTAGAAAGCACAGCATATAAGTTGGCAATCCAGTAGAACATTTACGGTGGCAATCTAGCAAGAACATGCACAACAAACAGAAAAAGAGCGTGTATATGAAACTCTGTTCCTCGTTCCAGTTGCAGTTTCTGCATAGAGTTTCATCTTCAACGAGTTTCTTATATGGCCCCACCCAAAAAAAAAAAAAACCAAAGTCCCTCCCTCTCAGTATTGGAAAATGGGAGAGAAATGTGTGCCAGTTCAATGTTATGCATTCTATTGGTGTGCTATCTAGCAAAATGTAAGATAAATTTATGACAGTGGAATGTTATGCATTCTATGGTGTGCGACACCTACTTTCAATAGTTAGGTTTGACAGCTGCTTTATAAAAATATTTACAAGGAAAATATACTAACATATAACAAACTTTTATGTATACATACAGGTAAGGTCAGCTCAAACTTCACGTGTATAATTCAAATATATGATCTCAAAAAAATTCGAATGGTAACTATTTTATCCATTAGATTTGTTTTGAACTTCATGTTCATACAGGAGACACATCAAGAGTCAAGACTATCTTTGAGTGTGTGCCTTGATGTGTATCACATGGCAACACAAATCTCAAAGCAAATCTAATAGATAAAAAAGTTGGTGGACAAGTGATTCTATTCCACTTAAGTTTATATAAGCCTTACACACACATATGAGAAAATTAAGCATCCTTGGTACCAAGGACAAAATAGGTGTCTGCTATGTTGCACGGGCACGGGTAAGAGACGTGGTACATATACAATGGGGAGGGTATAGGGACATGGGTCTATAAATATTGATATACATATATTGTGTATTGAAAGTAATAGGTTACATGATGTCAGTATTTTTCTATTCACATGTCATAAGAATTAAAATTTCTATAACATTTTTATGTTTTTTATAATGTGGATTATAAATTATAAAAACGCTTATTTTTTGAACTAGACACCCAAACGACCGTCAAAATCATAGTTTGGAACCCAATGAATTTCGAGAAGCATATGTCAACAGTGGAATTTACGTCCATGAAATGTTTGACAAGTTTTCTAAATTTAAATATGTATTGTTTAATCAAGTACATGCCCAACTAAATGTATGCATATATGAAAGGAGTGTCCAAGGAGCTTGGACGAGTGCCGCTACGTGTCGGGTACGAGTACGGGTTCAAGTTAGAAGTACCCACATAACATAGGGGTGCTTGCAAGGTTTTAAATATTAGCTATCGGGGATTTATCAGACGGTCAAAATTCATATCAGATAGCGGGTATCGAGGATATATCAAGAATAATTAGTATTTATCGGACTGACATTACAGGATGGTGATATACATAATATAATATTCTAAATGTAATCTAACTATACTTAATAAAATTTAAAACATATCAAAATCAAAATAATTATGTTTAGGATCACTAACCAATGGTAGAGACTCGAGTCGGGTTAGGTTTAAAGTGCATTGAATAGGCGGCTGTTGCCCGAAATCAAAACTCAAATCAAATGCCAATACTTCCAATTTTTAGGCTGACAATATCGGCCGATAACTCACTTTATCGCCGCATTATCAATAGTAAACATCCAAAAATGATAACCGATTTAAAATTGAAGTTATCATAGCGGAAGGCCCCCAAAACCGATAAATCATCGATAATATCGGTTTATCGGCCAATATTTAAAACATTGGATGCTTGATAGTGATGTTACCACTTCTTATCCACAAATTTAAAGTTTTCCACCTCAAATAGTCACCATTTCATTACACTCATTAAATGAGTGAATGGAACATGGCCACCTCCCTACCCATGACCAAAATTTGGTCCTTGATATCACGGATACTCATGTTCCTCTCCGTGTGTGTGTGTATAGACCGTGTGTGTATATAGGGAAAAGTGTTCTTAGGGTGACACAATTAGGTTCAATCTAAGGACTTCAAAACTACATTATATGCAATTAAGTTACTTGATGATTTGATCCACTCCATTCATTTTGATCTATATGTTTTGCATTGTAAATAAATAAAAAATTAGGTATGTTGGAATAGTTACTTATATATCAGGTGATTGTAAAATTAATGGTTTTAAGAGAATACAACTAAAGGGACAATGAAAACATGTGTTAGAAGTAATAAAACATCATGATTTTTATTTTATAGGTTTTTTGAAACATATAAATCGAAATGAACGGAGTGAATCAAATAAATTGATAGCATACAATGTAGTTTTGAAGGCACTTACTTAGATTGAACTTAAGGTGTCACCTTAGGAACACTTTTCTCGTGTGTATACATATATATATGTATATATATAATATATATGCATGTGCATACATACATACATATATGTATGTATGTGCATACATACATATATATGTATGTATGTATGTATATATATATATATATATACATATATATGTATGTATACACACGTGTGTGTATGTGTGTGTGTATGTATGTATGTATTGTATATATGTATTATATGTATATATATACACACACATACATATGTACATATGTATGTATAGATATATGTATCTATATGTGTATACACACAAACACACAAAAAAATACATACAAACATTGTATGCACGCGTGAGAAATGTGAGTATTCTCGGTACCAAGAGTCTGTGGTTGTAAGGTGGCTCATTTTCATCCACTCATCTAAAGTGGGGGACTATTTTCAAGAGAGGGATTATTTAGATGAGTAGTTGGGATTTGTTCTCTAGTGGGGTGGCTCATTCTCACCCGCGCATCTTAAATGGGGACCATTTCAAGAGGGGATATTAATCAAGTTGAGAACAATTTTGTAACGCCCCTCAGGGAGGTACATAAAAATTTGGGCATGACCTACCTGTAATAAGAAGGGTCGACCTGCTAAATCTTTATGCACATCATAATATAGATATACTGAAGAGCAAAAAATAAAACAGTGGAGATGTATATGCAATACTCAGGATCACGAGGTTGACAGCAAAGTCCATAGAATACCAGAATAGAAGAAAACTAAAGGGAACAACAAAATATTACAATAATAGTAGCAGCTACAAACATTAGTACATGTTTGATAAGTCCAAAGTACTACAAAAGTGAATATAAATTAACTCCTACTAAGATTTATCTCCCAGAGCTAATCTTCAATTTCAGGGTCTTCAATCCCATTATCCTTGCTGATGGTATGACCTGCGAATGAATATAGAAACAATAGGGGCGTCCCTATAGCTCAATAGGTAACCATAAAAATCTCAGGTATAACATAATGGGATGAATGAAAAGGATATGCATAGATATTCGAACTTGAACAAAGAGATCTCAACATTAAGTTGCCATACTTATATCATGATCATTGATCGAAATAAAATAACATGTAAATATGAATAATCAAGGTCTCATATTCAGGATTCTAAACTCCTCAATCATAAGATAATCAATAAACCGTGTATGCCTTTATACACCTACCGATGAGCGTCCTCACACAGGGCATTGTCCCCACCGGGACCCATTACTATTACCACCCACCGGTGAAGCTTACTTCACACAGGACGTAATCCATGAATATAGACTATCAATCATCAACAAAGAGAGGAATACTATCATTATCAATAGTCGAATCATCGAAGCAAGTTGAATTGTTGCAATATAATCATTCAAGGATATCGATGTATAAAACTGAAATAAACAACATTAGGATAACAATGGTTAAGCAATCAACAAAGAGCCCACGCATGTAGTGAATCAAATAGGAATATTACGAAAGTGATAAGATATACAACTTCGCATGTGAAACCAACTCGTAGAAATTTCAATAAGTAATCAATCGAACTCTCAAAGACTTGAGAGGAGACAATGAAAGGTTACCTACCTATTATGTCGGGATCCTCTCGACCAACGAATGAATCCAAAATTTTATGTCCTATATACACATACATGTATACCCACATGAGATTCTAAACGCTATGTAATTATGTCTTTTATAATTTTTCTAACTTAAAAACTTATATCATGGTATAAGCTACACTCTAGATGATTACATTCAATATTTCTAATATGCACAGCAGCACAAGTAGTGTACATGCAATAGTTTTAGGTGAATGGATGGTATAACAATTGATGTCCAAAATGCATTAAACTAGTTCCATATGACTCCGTTATGAGTCTAATTTCAAAATATAAAAATTTTACATCAATACATGGTGTATAGTAAGAGTTATGCTCTCAGCAAATTACACCTGTCAAAACTGCAACAGCAAAATAAATATTACTATCTGGAATGAATAATTTACTTTGGGTACTTAACACTATACAAATGGGTTTCTATTTGGTATATAAGTAATATGATGGATTAGATTCTAAGTCTCATGAGTTGCATCAAATTTTTATTTTTATAATGCATGTTACATGCAAAATAACACAGGCGGGACAGACTAGAATTGTCAGTACATATACTAGCTATTAGAATTAGACTTAGACTTACCAAACAGTACTCAAATTGATTCAAACTTACATCAACAGAAAGACAATTGAGTCTAGTTTTAGGAACAGAAAGAATTTCATGCATGCATGGTATATATTGAGATTTATGCTCTTTACAATGGATATAACTCATG